ACTTTCTCATGGCACTTCCCATCAGTCATTACCTAGCCCTCAACAGCCATTTACAACAATACCCGCCTACAAGGGCCACTCTCAGCGTCCCCCGGCAACAACGACCAACCAGAGTGACCGCTCAAACGAGGCTGAATAGTGCCTGATTACTGGGGGATGGATAGGGGGAGGGGGAGTAATCTGGGGGAGGGGGTGAGGGAGAAGGGGAAGGGAGGGGGGGAGGGAGAGTTATCTGGGGGGAGGGGAATTGCACATTCAACCCCCTCTTATCGACTTCTTAGAGGTGGATTACTTAATTACAATCTACAGCTTCCCTTTAATTGTAAAGATCAGTCTAGGGCGACGGGGAAGAACCGCATGGAACTTACCAATTTGAGACGGTAAACTCTGTCTAAATATATATATATTCCAAGGTGTTGGTAAAGCTTCGGACGGCGGTCATTGATCTAGCCAAATAGTCCATCGTTTCCGTGATGAGGAACTCCTCCACCAGCTGCACACAATGACAGGAGGGAGGGAGGGACTAGAGGGAAGGAAGGAGGAGGGAAGTAGGTAGGATACGATGGACGGAAGAAGAAGGAGGTGGGGGGGGGGGGAAGAAGATAAGACAAGAGAGCTCAAGAGAGAAGCGAAGAAGGTTGACGCAAAAAAGAGAAAAAGAGTTACAAGATACCTTTAAAAAGACGCAGTCAAAAAGCCACGAATGAGATTGACTGTTACGAGTCAACACACGACGCAGGACCAATAGCAGTGCGTGACGCAATAAACCACGCACCACAATGACGCAATAAATCAACACATATATCAGTTCCCAAGACCTGAGTAATTACTCAGGGTCCTCATACGTCTACTGATCATACTGGGATTCCTCGCCAAAAAACGACAGCCAGAGAGAGAGATTTATAATCACATATATGTCCCATATTAGTGGAGGTCCCTCTATTGGGGTTCACCTTTGACCTGTTGACCTCAAAGTTGCTACAAAACGCGAGGAAAAAAAACAGGGACGTTGGTTCGAGGTAGGATCTGTTGGAAGGTTCAGTGTGGGGGTTCAACGGGAGATGGATTGGAGGCTGGGATGGGAGGCTGGCATGGAAGGCTGGGATGAGAGGCTGGGATTTAAGGCTGGGATAGAAGGCTGGGATGGGAGGCTGGGATTGGAAGCTGGGATTGGGGCGAAGGACACTGTATACAGATGCCATCCTCTTGATACAAAACTTCAAACTCCCATAAGCATAACACGTGCTCAAGAGCAGAGGTAGAGCAACGTGTGCTCTATCTCTGCTCAGTGAGCACAGGTAGAGCACAGTTAGAGCACAGATAGAGCATATGTTGTAACACATCCAGGGGGGGGGGGGAATATTTACCACAAAAAATTAAACTCATGGGTCCCCACAATTACACCAGAGGTGGTAACCCCCTATTTAATATATAATATAACTTGAGGAAATTGTTAAAAAGATAGGAATTAATTAAATCCCATCCTCATAGATGGATTTACTAACACTAATCCTGGTAAGCCTGGATCATAAAAATTAAAATGAAAAACAAAAAATCATATTTGGAGAACGATGCCTCCTGAACAGCCATCATTATCCTATAATGCCAGTTGGTATCCTGGCCTGGAAGGATTGACTAGGCACCAATCTTTACCTGTTCTCCTATGTTCAGCCAGACCGGAATGGCTACCTGGTTGTTAAACGATTTGGCGGGTCGTATTCCGGGGGAGAATTAGGATTAAGGAGCTGCCTGAAACACTATGCTTGCTGGTGGCTGTACAAGAAAGTGAGAACTCTTGTATATGCAGGCGATGAGTCACAATAACGTGGCTGAAGTATGTTGACCAGACCACACACTAGAAATTGAAGAGACGACGACGTTTCGGTCCGTCCTTGTACAATCGTACAATCGTACAATCGACTTGAGAATGGTCCAGGACGGACCGAAACGTCGTCGTCTCTTCAATTTCTAGTGTGTGGTCTGGTCAACACTCTTGTATATATAATAAAATATAAAATAATAACAAATAAAGGGAATAGTCGGTACAGAGAGGGATTGTGGTTCCCTGCAATCAACTTTAGACAGTGTGAGAGCTATTATGGGGAGCAGGTTGGGCAGAGAAGCGGTTGAAGTTTTCTCCGGACAAAATTGTAACTTGTAAATATGATAACAAACGTGGAAGCTAACTTATTGCTTTCATCTAAGAAGGTTCGTAAGCCGGGATGAGTATATGCAAACACACACACACACACACACACACACACACACACACACACACACACACATACACACACACATACACACACACACACATACACACACACACACACACACACACACACACACACAGCGGGGTCCAAGAGCAAGAGCTCAATCCTGCATGCACAAATAGGCGAGTACACACAAAAGCTTCCACGAACCAAACTTCACACACAAAAAGAACAATGTCCCTCCCACCACAATATCTTTGGAAAAAAATCTAAAAAAAAAAAACAGAGTATTCTGAATTTTGCTGCGGGTTGGGAACATGCCTTATTGGGACGGAATATGTACGGTTGTGGGTGAGGGGGACGGGCCGGGGAGGTGGGTGTTCAAACCATGGCGACTCAGATCAATATCAGCTGTCAACAATGCACCAATATCCTCACCACGACCAAAAGTGGTGAGATGGCGGCTTATATTGTCTTGTCGTAAGCCCACATCACTATCCCTAATGATCCCAAGTGGGATAGAGGATATAGGCACTCACGTCAGATGGCTATGGGACAGAAAGGAGGACGGGAAAGGGTCCTTTCCCTGCTGGGATGGGCAGGATTAGGATGGATGGGTACGGAATCGGGACCCCTGTAGGAGTCGTATCTTTATGAGGTGGCAATAGTGCAACCGTGGGAAGGGGGGAGGGAAGACACTTCGATACAAGCCTAAAGTATATATATTTATATATATATATATATATATATATATATATATATATATATATATATATATATATATATATATATATATATATATATATATATATATATATAAACAGGCTTTCTGTCTCCAACAACTGGAATTATGGATCTGTTCACTGCGATGTAAACAGTGGCGTTAGGTGAAAGGAAACCTGCCCAATCATTTGTATGTCGCCAGGGAATTGAACTCGGGATAGTAAGTCATTAGCTTAGAGAGGATATACATAAACATACCAAGCTTCCTGTCCCCGTTGAATAGACTGTTGTAATAAAGAAATATAGCTAGGTTACCCATATAAAAATAGATCATTTAATCTGAAAACTACTAAAGAAAACTCCTATATTTAGCACTAACTAAATATGATACACATTTTCCTGACAGCTTCATCTATCTCCAGTAAACATTCGCTACATGAATAAGAACGATGTTGTAGAGACAGGGAACCTGTTAGACTTAACGAAGAGCCTCCTTGCATAGGACGAGGTTATACGTCAGGTCACCCAGTCAGCTGATAGCCAGACCCAACACCGCTTAACTTGACTGATTGAAGAACGCGGACACGAGAATTGCAGTTGTATATTTCGGTGTTAACTAAAGCAAAGGCAATACCACAAATGGTTTTAGTAGTAGTGATGTAGTATATTAGTAGTAATTGTAGTAGTGATGGTAGTATGATTAACTGTAATAGTAGTGATAATAAAGTGAGTTGCAGGACGAATTGATTACATAATCCATTCATAAGGTAAGGAAATTATCGGGAGAAAGCACTAAGCCATTACTACTATATAGCACTTGGAAGGGGTCAGGATAAGGATTGGGGATGGGACGGGGGAGAAAGGAATGGTGCCCAACCATTTGGACGGTCGGGGATTGAACGCCGACCTGCATGAAGCGAGACCGTCGCCCTACGGTCTATTAATTTTATAGCACCACAAACACGCTCATTTGCTAGCACAAGTATCCGCATCTGTGAGTATCTGTGTGTATTTGTGAGCATATGTGAGTATCTTTAAGTATCTGTGAGTATCTGTAAGCATGCGGTATATCTTATCCTTACAGGGCCAGGATTTATCACATAGTCACGCAAGCATTTAAGAACCTAAACATTTTTCTAACCAACGAAATTTGTAACTTTATATATATATATATATATAATATATATATATATATATATATATATATATATATATATATATATATATATATATATATTATAAATGCATCTTAACTTGATGAACATAAACATAATATAAACGAACATAAACATTTTTTGCTAACTTCGGTTGGGTACACATCTATTCTTGTGTGGTGGTGTGAGGGAGTGGGTCGAGTGACTGGAGACGCTCGCGAACGGGATGTCAGACGCCTCAGATAGACGAAATTGTTAATGTATTAATCTCCGTTGAGGTCTGATAAAGACCTTTTGTGCTCTCTCTAGTCCTTTTTTTGCGCTACCGCTCACAGGATGAGTATGGGATGCACAATAAACTTGAAACCCTTTAGATAAACCCTTTAAACCCTCAAACAAACAAGTTTGATGGAGATGTCATTATTGAACGAGATGGTGCCACAGGACACTCACTCATCACCTCACGATGGTATCAGATGGCACACAGATACGCATTCACCAACCCATAACGACATCAGGCGGCACTCCGTCGCCACCCCCCACGATGCCCGTGCGCAATACGCCCACCTTGTCTTAAACAACCTTTTAAAGACCTGTCTTAACAATCCTGCCCGAAACCCCATGCGTGTTAGTGCCTTTGCAAGAATGTAATAATACCCATATTATGTAATCCCACAAACCCATTGTACCTACTTGTAAATAAAATATTATTATGAAACACCCAAGTGTTCCGGACCAAAATATTACGTGAGGTCCCCCTCACCGTATTCAAGGAAGTGAAACATGTGGCCGTCGAATGACTCACGTCGAACATTTTTTTTTATCTGAGCCCCCACGACTTGCCATGAGATTGTTGGCCCTTTGCATGTGCCATGAGGGCCCCTCATGGCACCCCAGGCGAGAGCCATGAGGCGGAAACTTAATCAGAGTGCGCAGGAGTCTTATAGGTCCGAGAGTGAGAGGCGGGAGGGGCGCAGGGGACCAGACACTCGGGTTACCCTACTGATACACAGACCCCAGCAAGCGAGGAGAGGAACATTAGTGAGTAGGGAGGGAGGATGGGCAGAGGTGAACAGAGAAGGTTGTTGAGAGAGAGAGAGAGAGAGAGAGAGAGAGAGAGAGAGAGAGAGAGAGAGAGAGAGAGAGAGAGAGAGAGAGAGAGAGAGAGAGAGAGAGAGAGAGGAAGGATACAGGACTTGTTGTTCTGTAACCTCAGTGTTGAAGGAATGTTTTCAGGACTCTGACCCAGCTGGCGGAAGGCAGTCACGCCGGACACACACACAGCTGCTCGAGGGGTCCAAGTGAGAGGGCAGGGAGTGAGAGAGACACAGGGAAGGCAGCGGACCGGACGGCTGCCCTCTTGCTTCCTTCTCAACACAGGTAAGCACAAGCAGTCATTTGCTGACACTTGAATCAAGTGCTCGACGCAAACTCTTCTAGGAGGAGGTATATCTTTTTACGAGTCTCACCATAGTGTGTGTTGTGTAAACATTGACCTGTGTCACTATAGTGTGTGTTGTGTAAACATTGACCTGTGTCACTATAGTGTGTGCTGTGTAAACATTGACCTGTGTCACTATAGTGTGTGTTGTGTAAACATTGACCTGTGTCACCATAGTGTGTGTTGTGTAAACATTGACCTGTGTCACAATAGTGTGTGGTGTGTAAACATTGACCTGTGTCACTATAGTGTGTGTTGTGTAAACATTGACCTGTGTCACTATAGTGTGTGTTGTGTAAACATTGACCTGTGTCACTATAGTGTGTGGTGTGTAAACATTGACCTGTGTCACCATAGTGTGAGACCAGGCAGCCTAAAGTTAAGATCAACCATTTTATCATAGTCTCATTTTATATTTATTTATTTATTATTTTTTGGAGCTTAGCATTTCTCAGTGTAAATATATTTCCTTTGATTCTTTGATTCCACTAATTCACTATTCCGTTTTTTAAATATTAAATCACTCAGGGCCATGAGGGGGATTCGAATGTGCATTTAGGGATACTCCCAAGCACTCGCCATAAACCACTGACCAACGATATGCTAAAAATAATGTAAATTGGGATTCAGCTGAATTCTCTAGGGGTTCTGGGGCATCGACCTGATAACAAATAGAGGTTTGACACATTATCCGAGTGTACTCTGGTGTGATACATAGAGTGCACCCGGGAAATGTGTCAGACCTTGATCTTGTATCTGGTCGATGCCTCAGGATCCCTAGAGGATTCAGTTGATTCTCAGGTTACATTACTTTACTAGCATATCGTGGGCCAGTGGTTTCCGGCGTGTGCTTGGGAATACCCCAAAGGTTCAGGTTCGAATCCTATTCATGTATCCGAGTGATTTTCTCATTAATACCTTACGGTGAAAGTGATTTCCTTGTGCATTTAATCAATTATTAACTTAATTCTTTATGATGTGGCTGGTTAATGAGATAACTTTAATTGGTAGTTTAAACTACTGGGCTCCAGACGAGGTGACTGCTGGGTCAGCTGCTTGTGTATTGGGTGTCTGCTGAGGGTGTAGTGTTGTTTGTGCTGGTGGGGCACTGGTGCCAGTGGTGTCAGTGGTGCTAGTGGTGCCAGTGGTGCTAGTGGTGCTAGTGGTGATGGTGGAGGTGGTAATCACAGGGTACAGGCCATGGTTTGTTTTGTTTTGCCAGTCTGCTTATATTTGTAAGACGAGGAGAGGGGGAAAAATGTTTTGAAGTAGGGTAGAGAGAGAGAGAGAGAGAGAGAGAGAGAGAGAGAGAGAGAGAGAGAGAGAGAGAGAGAGAGAGAGAGAGAGAGAGAGAGAGAGAGAGAGAGAGGAGAAAGAGAGGCTGATGATGAACGAGAACAGGAGAAACAGAAGGAGAGAAATTCAATTTCTTAACTTCCACAAAGACTTCGACTGTGAGTCTAGAGGAAGAAGACTCTTCAGAAACGTGGACGTGTGTGGTATTGTGCAGCTCTAAGTTGGTATATTTACAAAAGAACAAAACAAAAATTAGCAAACTTAAATTATTCGTAAGTATAAAAATCTTTACAAGTGGAGCGCCACCAAGAGCCTTGTATTTCATCTCTGGTTACACGACTTGTAAACGATTTACAAAGGCTTGAATAGCGTCATTTACATATTGACAATCATACAGAAAATAGGACGGGAAATTAGTTCATGACAGAAACATTTTTACCAAACGATTTAGACAGGCTTTAAAATGGACAGAAGAATGACAGGTGCAGTTAAATACTAAAAAAAATTAGGGATATTTTGTATTATTTAATGATAACAGAGTTGCAAAATATCAGCTGGACAAGTTCAAGTTCAAGTATGTTTATTGAGATAAGCAATAAATACATCTCAAAGGGATAGAGTAGCTTAGGCTATTTCTACCCCCCTGACTAGCTGGACAATGGTGATATTGCATGATGAGAAAGTGAGGATATTATATGGATCATGATTAGTACGGATCTAAAAAATAAAAATGAACGCATAACTGTTCGAAATTAATAGTGCTTCGTGTACTCACCGCAAACAATAAACAATTCGAACGGGTACACATCAGATGTTGACTTTACTATGTATACATTAGCGTGTATCCATAACCCGTGTGTATGTTGTATGTTGTATGTATATACGCTGGTTACCGACTCCTGAACGTTTCTAGTGAATGTGGGTGATGGAGGGAGTGGAGGGGGGGTAGTTATGAGATAGAGAGGGGGTGGTGGCTGTGAGGGAGGGGAGTGGTGGTGGTTATGAGAGAGGGGGGAGGGGGGATGGTGGTGATGAGAAAGCCAGGGAAGGGGGTTGCTAATATTAAAAGAAGTTGAGAAATATTATATTAAATGCTGAGAATCGTTCAGAAGTGGTGTTTTAAAAGATTACATTAAATCTCAAAGCTCTTCGCTATTTCTACAAGTGTTGTGGTCTCCCGGTAATGAACGAACATGAGAGAGAATGAGTAACACGCACTGACGCTCTCATTAAGAGTTTACGAGGTCATCATAATACTCAGTATTATCCCTCGTTAATGAGGACATCAGAGGCTTATTGACCCTTCCCTCTCACCTACTCGTGGGAGGAGGCCTGGTCGACGACCGGGCCGCGGGGACGCTAAGCCCCGGAAGCACCTCAGGGTAACCTCAAGGTACTCCCACTAACAACCCAGATGAGAATGTATGCGTAGTGGTAAGCATAATAAAAGCACTTCAGTCACATTGTGATTGAAGTCAGGATGTTAGGTTAAGTTAGGTTAGGTTAAGTTACATTAGGTTACATTAGGTTACATTAGGTTAAATAGGTTTCAAATCCATTTGAGAACCGTCTACACAACGTTGTGTATTCCTAACTAGATACTGCTCTCCTAATCACCAAACTACACACTGGACCTCATTGATTGTAAAGCCATATATAAGACATCCTAAATTCGACCCCCCCCCCCTCCCCAGAATCACGAAGTATCTTTACTACAATAGTGAAGATTACGACTGTTGCAAATGTTGAATTAGGCACATTATTCTAGTTAAAACAACATTCATAACCCATAGTTTGGCAACATAGTTGTTAATGGGTCGATTCCTCTCTCTGCAGCGAAAATGCTTTGATTAAAAAAAATGCAGGCAAAAGAGCCAAATTTATTATAGAACCTGTATCACATAGATTTTGTACCAGAGGACCTGATACAGCTGCATTATTGTATTCTTATTTAAGACGTATTTGGGTGATAAAATATATATAATATATTATATCACCCAAATACAATAATAACTTATATAACAACTTAAAATAAAGGAATGACTTCCCGGGCTGACGTTTGAGACTTTATGGGTGTCGGTAGTTAGGTGGCTACGTTCTCGACTCACAGTTGTGAATACAGGGTTCGATCCCTGCGCGGAATCGAAATGGTATATATATTTTTTTTTTCAGGAGATATTAAAGTAAGGTGCTCATTGCTCATAATATGAGAAATGGGAAGGGATAGCTGTAAACTTGTTAACAGTCGCCAGGGGCAGTTTACTTCTGTCCCACCTGTGTATACAAAAAACGGGGCGCTAGAGCGACAGTTTACGTAAACCCATACAGCCAGAGGGAAGGTGAGAAGAAGAGGCAGGACAGAGAGGGATAGGGAGAGGAAGGATAGGACGGATAGAGGAGAGAAAGGGCTACATAAGTAGGGAAAGGAAGAAGAATAGGCATGTTAAGGGGAGAGAATAAACACTGCAAGGAGAAAGGGATGGAAGGAGGATAGAAGCGTAGGATAGAAAGAGGGGAGGAGTGTGTGTGAAGGTAGGAGATGGGTAGAGAATAGGGATAGAGACTTAGGGAGATAGTTCCAGCACCCTAGAACATTGTTACAGTTGTGTGTCAACAGGCTCTGAGACCCCTAGGTGCATAGGGTAAATGGGCTCTTAAGTTCATGAAGGAAGGAGGCGAAGAGCTCCTTAAGCTAATTAAAGACCCAAGAGCAGCCAATTTCCTGTTCCAGCGCCTGAGTGTCCCTATCCAAAGAGGAAAGGCCTCCTGTATCATGGTTATGTGCTCATCCACACAGTGGGTACGCATTCATCCACAGCATAGGTATGCACTCATCCGCAGAGTGGGTACGCACTCATCCACAGAGTGAGTATGCATTCATCCGCAGAGTGGGTACGCATTCATCCGCAGCATAGGTACGCATTCATCCACAGCATAGGTATGCACTCATCCGCAGAGTGGGTACGCACTCATCCACAGAGTGAGTATGCATTCATCCGCAGAGTGGGTATGCACTCAACCGCAGAGTGGGTACGCACTCATCCGCAGAGTGGGTACGCACTCATCCACAGAGTGAGTATGCATTCATCCGCAGAGTGGGTTGGCTCTCATCTGGAGAATGGGTACGCACTCATCCACTGTTCGAAAACCTCAAAATGAGGTTTTCGAACAGTGATTGCTATAGATGTGTGTGTTTTCTGTCAACTGGGTGGGTGGATGAAGGGTTACGTAGTCAAATAATGTGTTCAGAAACAAGTTTATCAATTTCGTTTCAGTAAACTATATGCACACAGCTTTGGTTTTCCTTTCAAGCACATCACACACTTCTTACAGTCGCCAATCGTGGGAGATTTTGCAAAAAAAAAAAAAATGGTAGCAAATAAGTTTGCATGAAGTATTTATGTTGATGTTAACAGGATGAGAGCTACGCTCGTAGTGTCCCGTCTTCCCGATACTCTTTGTCGTATAACGCTTTGAAAGACATGCACACACACACACACACACACACACACACACAAGTAACGTACGTACGTGTGTGTGTGTGTGATGCAGTTTAGGGCTTTCAAATCACAAACAAATACAGGACAACAACAAATAAATAAACAAAAAGGTGTCTAGACGTCGCTTGGAATTTGACATATTGCAGTTTTTGTGCTGAGTGCGGACTGATTTATGCCTTGACGAGTGATTGGGGAGAGGGAGGACGAGAGAGAGAGAGAGAGAGAGGACGAGAGAGAGAGAGAGAGAGAGAGAGAGAGAGAGACAGACAGACAGACAGAGATAGAGAGAGAGAGAGTTACTAACATCACATTAGCAACAGAGATGTCACGCTATCAACAGAGACATGACGTGACATCTGCTAGGATCCAAAAGCCTCATTCTGTCAACAACTATCTCTAACCCTCCAGCAGGTTGTGAGAGAGACCTGGAGACAATGACGCCCCTCCTCCTGTTCTACGGGGTATTCTGCGCCTCTTGGCACCAGGTAGGTCCTCAGGGTGAGAGAGAGAAACCGACTTATATGTAATTGTGAGACGAGTCTCAGCTTCTGGGCTCCGCCTTGTAGTCACCAGTTGTCATGACTCACAATATTCTTGTATCTTATCAAACACGTATTTGATATTGTTTATAAACCTTGAATGGTCCCCAAGTCTATGTGCAACTGTAAATTCTATGACTGAAATGATTCTTTATACTGAAATGCTTCCTTACACTGAAGGTTTCCTTACACTTAAGACGTGCTTCCTGGCATCTTTGGCTCATCTGGGTTTTAAGGTTCCACCCGTGCCCTGACGCCCTGCTTCTGGCCACTATCATGGTGGATGGGATATCAAGATGATAATAATATGCTTCTGCTTCATATATCAATCACTAACAATACTGCAAATGCATAAATTATCTTTACTGACAATAATACATTTCCTCAAAATTCTTTGCAAACTGGACCAGGTTCTCTGTCTCTTGTAAACCAAGAAACTGTCCTCTGACCTTGTCATATCCCCCAGGTATACCCAGAAGCGACGACAGACAGAGAACAACTGTCGACCCACTTCGACCCCGCTCATGACAGCCCTGAGTCCCTGGGGGGTGAACAGAACACGGGCGACGGGGCACTTCTGCAGGAGCACGGGTCGGGTCCAGGCTCTGGATGGCAGAACGATGATTGGTCAGCTGCGAAAGACTCTCTGGATGTCAGAAGAGCTCAAAGACTGTTGTCAAACTTGAGAGAAAATTTTCATGTCGATGACAATTACATTGAAAACCTTCCGTCGGATCTCCGGGGAGATTTGACGGCAAGTTTAAAAGGGAGTAGGTTTTGGACGACCGGAAACGATGATTCTCAAGTAGTAAGAGAAGTGAAGAAGGCGAGGCAGGAAGAGGAAGGAGAACTGAATTCCTTGTCGCAGAATGAGGACTATTTGGAGAGCAACAATGATTTGAACAGCAATGAACTGTGGAGAAACAGTCCGGACGACGTCGACGCACGAAGCCCATTAGAACAGAGGGACAGAAACAGCCCGGACCAGTACGATGCCCGGCAGCAGGAAAACAGACCTCCTAAGAAAGACATCAGCAGGACACAGCACGAACGGTGGACGGAAGACACCAGAGATGAGCACATGAAGCGAAAAAGAAAGCGGCAGCAGAAGATGAAGCTGAAGGAGACGCTGCAGGAGGCGAGGAACGATCGTCAGCAACAGAAGCAGATCGTGAACAATGAAGGACAATCATCTCCCCATATCGTCTTCATCCTGGCAGACGATCTGGGTGAGTATCGTGCTCCACCAAATCCTATCCTTAAATACTATCACAAATTCAGTAGATTTCAGGAATATATTTATATATATATAGCATATATCGTGTGCACATTCAAAACAATATCTCCGGTGCACACGAACACATTGCTGCCATGTTTCCGCAACACTCAGTGCAGCAACATTTCGCCCCCATCATCCCCACCACCGTCACCTCCCTCTCTGCCCCCTCTCCACCCCCACATCGTCACCTCCCTCACTTTCGCCCCCTCCACCCCCCACAGGCTACAACGACGTGCCGTGGCACAATCCGGACATTCAGGCACCGGAGCTCCTGAAGCTGGCCCGGACGGGGGTGCTGCTGGAGAATCACTACGTCCTGCCGCTCTGCGCGCCCTCCAGAGCCGCTCTCCTCACCGGCCTCTACCCCTTCAGATACGGCAAACAGGTCTCGACCACGAGGAAGGGAAAAGGGGAGGGAGGAAGGAGTTAGAGGAGGGAAAGGGGCGGGAGAGAAGGGGGATAGACGGATAACGAAGGAAGGGGTGGGGAAGAGTCACGTTTTCTGTGACTCTTCTGTGTCATTTTCTGTGATTTTGGGGGTTCCTTTTTATGAAGGGGATTCAATTTTAATTCTTATGGGTAACTTTTTTGATAGTTTATATTTTAATAGTTCGAACAACTAACTGTTTGCTAAATCAGAAATAATTAATATTCTATTTGACACTGAAAACGATTCGCCACTGTTTCCCATAACACATAATCTAGCACCTCTGTTTTGAGACGGATTTCCTCTTTCCCAAACAATGCTCTCATGAATTGTCCCTGAAATATTTACTGCTTTTTAGTTCACTAAATCATCTATTGTCATAAATATTTGCTCAAAGAAGCATCCAAACAATTAATCAATAAATATACCATGAATGGATGTATATATTCTGAGAGATGTAACCCTGTTTATCTGGTTATATACACTGGTGTATATACACTAATGTATATACACTGAGGTTACTTTAGTCCTGTACTGTGTTCAGGACTAAAGTGTACTTACTGCTGGGTCTGTAATCTATTGTGGTGGCTGTAATAACCCTCAAGAAGTTGTACAAGCCTGCTGAGTACTTCTTGTGTACTCTGAGAGTCCCAACTTCCACACTAGGCTTCCATCCCACACTAGGCTCGCCCCCTCCCTCTCACTCTAGGCCTTCCTAATCTACCACTAGATCACCTCACACACTCTCCCTGCAGGCCTCAGCCCGACCACTCAGCCCCACTGGTCTCAACGCCTCCATCACGCTTCTTCCTCAGCGACTCAAGACCTTTGGGTACAGAACTCACCTCGTTGGCAAGTAGGTCCTTAGGAGTGTGTGTGTGTGTGTGTGTGTGTGTGTGTGTGTGTGTGTGTGTGTGTGTGTGTATGGGAGTGTGTTTGTGTGTTGTATTTTTTAATTATTATGGAACGTAAACAATTCTTCCTAATATCCCAAGTGCTCATTTAAATATTTGTTTCCATATTAAGATGTCTTTATCTCCCCTATTAGTTCACTCGAATATTTTGTAAGTCGTGATCATGTCTCCCTGCTCTCTATCACTGATGCTAGTTTTAGTTCATACAATCTTTCCTTGTAACCCAGGCCTCTCAGTTACAAGACCAGTTTCGTAACATACCTTCAGACATTTTTCTCAAATTTGTTTTGAGTTTAAGGAGACATAGGAACCACGCTAGGACAGCATATTCCAGAATTGATCGGACATATGTGGCATAAAGTCTTCAACGATTCATTGTTCCTATTTCTGAGATCAGTTCTTGGATTTATTTACTATGTAAACTTCATGTAGCCTCGCTGCTTCTTTTCTAGCTCTGAGGTACTCATTGCTGCCCCATTTGCATCTGTTTCCTCTGTCATTTATATATTTATTTATACACAAGAAGGTACATTGGGGGTTAAGAGAGAACATAGAAATGAAGTTGATTTTACCTTCTTGTAAAGCCACTAGCACGCCTAGCGTTTCGGGCAAAATTACGTCATAACGTTTCGTCCTCCATTATATGGTATGTGTATTATGCATGTACTTATATTTCTGAGTCTCTGTACTCACATATTTGTGAGAACATGATCCGAGTTTCAGCTCTGGGACCTCCACCTTTCCAGTCCCCAAATTGTTGAATGCAATGACGCTTGATTTAAATTTCTCCTATCACATCTATTTCTAGAATCGTGGTGAAGAGAGAGAAAGAGAGAAAAATACAGAGACAAAGAGAGACATTGAGACAGAGATAGAGACAAAGAGAGCCATAAAGAAACAGAGAGACATAGATAGACAAATGCAGATAGATATATAGAAAAATGCAAACAGACAGAGGCAGGCAGAGACAGAAACAGAGACAAATATGCATAGTAAGCTTATATTCATATATTCACCACTTGCACCATATTTGACCCAGGTGGCATCTGGGTTACTGCAGCTGGGCCTACACTCCTACAAACCGAGGGTTCGATTCCTTCTACGGCTACTACTTGGGCAGCCAGACCTACTTTTCACGATTCAAGAAACTCTCGCCAAAGAAAGGTTTGATTATTCGATATTCCCATTCTTCTTCTTCATCATGTTCTCTGCCTTCTTATTCTTCTTCTCAGCCATCTTCTTATTCTTCTCTGCCTTCTTTGTTTATTACTGTTGTCCATTTTTCTATCGTTCTCTTTCTTCTCACACTGGTTATTATTTGTTATACATAACAGGTGTTGTAGTAGCAATAATTTAGTGTCTTTTTAGGGTTTCAATTCAGGATTGTTCTAAGACGTTTTTAGAACATAAAATAAATAGATAATATTGACTAATAACATTTACAATTTAACCCCAAGTTTATCTGTTAAAACTTAAAAAAAATGTGTTAATCTACTTGAACTTAAAATATACACAATTGACTCAAGTTAATTCATTAATCTCTAAGACTAAGTTTTGCATAAATTTTTTTCTCTTCTACAGATATATTAACAAGGATTTATGTCAGGAGGATAAAATAACAAATTGTATTATGTATTATCGATTTCAAATCAATCAAAATTCGATCATGTTTGAGTATAAATTATGAACTTTACTGAACATGTGTTAGTGGCGTTTAATCCCTCTCAGGTTTGGGGCAGTTATCTTATCTGAAGGTAATTTAAAACACAGACAAAATCTGTTATCTTACTGAGTACTTGGCAAATTAAGTGTTTCCAAACAAGAAAAATGCGCAATAAGGGTTATCTTTTTTCTGATAGCAATAAACCGTGATGTAGTGTAGTAATAGTAGAAGTAGTAGTTGTAGTAGTAGTAGTAGTAGTAGTAGTAGTAGTAGTAGTAGTAGTCGTAGTAGAAGTAGTAAAAATTAAATATTTTTCTTCTGAACGACTCTTGTCAAATTTTTATTGTGTTAAACGAAGAAAAGAAATATCCTGAAGCCATGAACGACTTTTGGCAGGTTCGCCATTCTGGTACGACCAGAATGAGGTGGTGAACGACGACGACGACCTCCACCGACGACCCCCGGACACGTCCCACCACGAGCTCAAGCTCCAGCACCAGCTGACGGAGGAGGCGGCGAAACACGCCACTACCAAGGGCGGGGCAGGGCAGGATTGGCTCACGCCCGAACACATGGCGGACGGCGGCTACGACTTCCGCTTCAACCACCAGCCCATTACCAACGTGTCCGAAATATACTCCAACGTAAAGATTAGTTTTGTGGCTTCGTATCTTGGTGTTCACAAAGTTGTGTATCTAGAATAAGAACATAAATCCTAAAGTCCATAATTCTCTCCCTCTCTCTCAACACCGTCGCCACCTTCTACAGGACCTGTACGCCACCCGGGCGGAACAGGTGATCCAGGACCACGCCTCCCGCACCCCTGGAGATCCGCTCTTCCTCCTGCTGTCGCTACAGGCGGTCCACGGCCCCGTCGAAGTGCCCCTCAAGTACAGGCGAATGCACAGGAGCGAGATGAACCTCGACAGGAGAACCTTTCACGGTTCGTAGTGTGGTAGTACGAACCGTGTTAAGCTACAACTAAGGGGAACAGTAGCACTTCTATTACTTGTAATAGTAGTACTACTATTAGTAATAGTAGTCCCCAGGTTATTCACCAACCACGCCCTCCCATATTGTTTATGAATGAGGTAGACCTTGAGGTGCTTCCGGGGCTTAGTGTCCCCGCGGCCCGGTCGTCGACCAGGCCTAGGAGACCGGAGGAGACCGGAGGAGAATATCCTGTGTATAGGTTTTGTATAAAGTGTCTTTCGTTCGTGATTACAGAGATTAACGAGAGATGTCTACCACTGTTTTAGTGATAGATGGGGGAGATGGGAGGGGGGGGGGAATTATTGTATTTTTTGTGCATGATTAAATCACTTGGTAATCTTAGGTCTGTGGTACTGATTGTGAGTGTGGCTTCAGGGATGGTGAGCGCTATGGACGAGGTGGTTGGACGTGTGGTGGCACAGCTCAAGGCGTCTGGTCTCTACCACAACTCCGTTATCGTCTTTACCAGTGATGTAAGTAGGAGAGAGAGAGAGAGAGAGAGAGAGAGAGAGAGAGAGAGAGAGAGAGAGAGAGAGAGAGAGAGAGAGAGAGAGAGAGAGAGAGAGAGAGAAATGACTTCATTAAAGTTAAATGACTTTAACACCACAAATTGACACACAAAAATCACAATAGCGTGATGCATCAAATGAATAAATCCACAAGGGCAGCCACGAGGGTTCGAACCCTCGTCACGGCCCTTGTGGATTTGTTTACCTCAAATTGAGCACCATCATTCCATATTATCCTTGTGTATGATAAGATTCTGTCGGATATAAGGTAAATCCACCGTAATTATCCATGTATCACCTTGCATTCGTGCATTTTTTAACCTTGCAAAAATAAAAAACTATCCTAGCGATCACCCGTCCCCTCATGACCCCCTTCCCCTCAGAACGGAGGCAACGTCCGGGCTGGGGGCAACAACTTTCCCCTCCGGGGGAGCAAGGGGAGCTTGTTCGAGGGGGGAACGAGGGGAGTGGCCTTCATCCACTCCCCTCTCCTGCCTCGCACCGGCTACAAGTTCACCGGGTGAGTTCACGAGTGTGTGTGTGGGAGAGAGGTTATAGTGACCAACCACACGAAGACAAAGGTAAACTCAGAAAACGTAGTACCCCCTTTGTTTACAATAAGATGCACTCGAGTTTTCTATAGTCATTAGTATTATAATTGCATGTATATGTTGATATAGGGATATATATATGGATGCGTAATTATTATGGATTATAACTATATAAACTAAGAGCTTATACTTAGCTTACGTTGACCTTATTTATTGACCACCAGACTGATGCATATGGTGGACTGGCCCAAGACGCTGATACATCTGGCTTCCGGCAAGCACCTGGTCGCCCGGCAGACGCCCCGACTGGAGCAACACCTCCCTCGACCCTCCTGGCCTGGGGGCCTCTTCTCCGACGGCGGCGAGGAGGAGTCTGAAGACGACGACGACGACGAGGAGGCAGAGGAGGAGGATGATGGGGACGGAGATGGGATGAATCTGTGGCCGGCCATATTGAAGAATAGGAAGTCCCCTCGTACCTCCTTTGTGTATAACCTCCGCAAGCAGCCCATGAGAGGCGCCATTAGGTGAGGGTTATGATCTTTGGTTTACGGTTGTATATTTTAATTACGGTTGTATACTTTGGTTTACCCAAGTCTAGTTCAACTTCATCTTCCTTATACACGCTGCTTCGCGGCATAACATCGATGAATGTTATAAATCATCGCGCGATTCATCGCTGAAAATTGTGCCCACTTGAGTGCCATGTGTCTGTCTCATCACCATGAGTTGCTCTTTGTGTGAGTACTGATATGACTGGAGACTCATACCTCATGTGTGAGTGAGAGGATCTGAAGTAACAACAGCTGGTAATGCTATCAGGTGGTAGCTCAGGTGTAAACAGTCAGACATCTTTTTTTGTACATGGGGGTTTTCCCCTTGTACTTTGTGATATAATTATACTTTTGTTGAATAAGTTCCATCAGCTGACTGTTGTAACTCGAATTATCAAAAGGGATCCCGAGTTAATTCATTCGTTATCTCGTAGGTCTGCATGTTATCTTATATGATTTCTATTATAACTATGATCCCTATTATAACTCGCATGACCCCTGTTATAGCCATAACAGGAGTCATTTTGTAACGTGTAACTTTGTAACATGTTGTAACTCCACCCCACCACCACCCCACCACCCTCAATCACTACCGCTGCACCACCCCACCCACTCCAAACTGACGCCTCCCCCTGCCACCCACAGACACAAGAACTGGAAGCTGGTGGTGGGCGGCGGTGGGCGGTTCGACGGGTGGGTGCCGCCCTCAGACGTGGCGGGCGGGGCCATCTCAAGTTGCTGCTCCTCCTGGCACTCTAAGACGCCCATAAGCAACGTCATGCTTTACAACCTCAAAGGTAAGGTGCAAATGGCCTTGAAAATCGTTTATCATAAATATCTTAATTTTTTATTCGTATATATATATATATATATATGTCGTACCTAATAGCCAGAACGCACTTCTCAGCCTACTATGCAAGGCCCGATTTGCCTAATAAGCCAAGTTTTCATGAATTAATTGTTTTTCGACTACCTAACCTACCTAACCTAACCTAACCTAACTTTTTCGGCTACCTAACCAAACCTAACCTATAAAGATAGGTTAGGTTAGGTTAGGTAGGGTTGGTTAGGTTCGGTCATATATCTACGTTAATTTTAACTCCAATAAAAAAAAATGACCTCATACATAATGAAATGGGTAGCTTTATCATTTCATAAGAAAAAAATTAGAAAAAATATATTAATTCAGGAAAACTTGGCTTATTAGGCAAATCGGGCCTTGAATAGTAGGCCAAAAAGTGAGTTCTGGCTACTAGGTACGACATATATATATATATATATATATATATATATATATATATATATATATATATATATATATATATATACCTACACAATTATTAATCAATTGGTTCCTCGGAAAATGTCACTCAAATTGGTTTTTATCTTTTGTATATAATACATTTCCATTTACATATAATACATTTGTGTTTCATGAGTACCCGTATAATGGCCACTAATAATATACACTACATGACAAGCAGTCTCTTATCACACACACCTGTAGCCACTTATCACACACGTGTTGCTGCTTATCACACACCTGTATTCTTAGCGACATTCTGCTCCACATTCTCGGTAAAGATAGGTCAGATATATATCTTTATCAACAATCACTCTGCCGAGCTAACAATGTCATCAGCTGGGTGTTCTACCGTTATTCAGTATAACCTTATTGCTCGATATAAGACAAAATATTTGAGTTAGGGATATTAGACAGACTAAGAGCTGGGATATGAGGACACATAGCCCTGGAATATGAGGATGGACTGAGTGCTGGGATACGATGACAGACTACGAGCTGGAACTTGAGGACAGATTCAGAGCTGGGCTTCGAGGACAGACTCGGAGCTAGATTTAAGTTAAGGGAGGCCAATCACATGGACTTCCTATGTCTAAACGCAGACTGTACAAGCAAGGGCGTCTCAGCATATGAATTACATCTCAAATATTCATATTAACTGCATGCTTTACGAAATCAAAGATGCTATTAAGCCAGTAATTTACAAAAATACAAATACATTAGTAAAATATCCCGATTGAGAAGCTTTCCGTAGCTTACAGGGCAGCCTCCTAAAAACTCTCCAAACATTACATATACGTTACTATCCACACTCAAAGCTAACGAAACACGTTACGAAGATACCTACAGAACCCATGAACGCGGAAAGAGCCTACAAAAAAAAAACACACGACTTGCCCTACAAACACATACAGCTTTGTACATTTAGAGCACCACAGTACACCACCTCCACAACTGTTTATTATTTACCAAAGTCAAAATTGCTTTCCCCAGACGACCCCCTGGAGACGACGGACGTCTCTGACCTCCGTCCAGATGTCGCAGCTAACCTGAAGGCTCGACTCCGTGCCTATGTCCTCGAGAGCCGTGAGCCTCACAGCCCCCGAGACGATCCTAGGGGACACCCGCGCCTCCACGGGGGTTTCTTCTCCCCTGGCTGGTGCCAACCCCTTGTGTAAAAAATAGAGTCCCAGTGGATGGTAGGAAGCGTCCCAAGGCAACACAGTTTCAACAGTGGCTCCAGCACCACCACTGTGGTCCAGCTTCGTCGTGTGAGAACCAGCATTGGAGGTTCACAAAAACCTCTTCAGTCTCCGCTGAGGGTTCTCGAGTTCTGGGATGGTTTCAGCCATCGTTTGAAGCGCTATAGTTTTTTTGACTATTAGAAACCTACAGGAGCCCACTAATCCCTAGTTGGGGGAGAGGGCTAATCTCACTTGGATAGTGGTTGCTCATCATGTGAAACTTCTCTGAGAGACGGCCAGGAAGCCTCCAGGGCTAGGATTCGCGAAGCATTTATGTGTCTACTCGCGAAGTCTCTACGTCTTATCGTAGACATCGTCGAGATACAAGGCCACAGACCTAAGTGAAATCGTAAATGATTTGTGAATCCTGATCCAGAAACGTCACCAGTGTTCAGTGGGGGGGGGTTAGTATTCCAGCAGCCCATAGTGGGAAACCTCATTAAAAGACGGCCAGGAACCCCCCAAAAAGAGCTGTCATAGTCTCCACTGAAAGTTCTCTCCGGGATGGCGGTAAAGTTTTATGAAACCGTCTATTGGAGGTTATGAGGAAACCTACAGTAACCTCCCCTGTGAGGGGGCTCTTTTTTTTTAGGCCAGTTACCCTCCCCTGCCCCCCCCCCTGCCCCTATCTTACAAACCACAACAGAGCAGCAAAACCCCTTCAGAACCCCTTCCCTACACACAGAGGTTTGATACAAGTGGGAAAATGAAATTAGTTTGTATGTAGGCCTCTCAGATGATTTGCTCTGTGATTATAGCTAATGTATTTATTTATTTTAACTGTGAAGATGAGCAAATAAACAAATATTTACCGTATTATTTTTTTGTTTTTATTTCGGGGGATGAGCTGTTTCGTATTTAAGTGTGCAATTTTGATAATTATGTAGTCCTACTATGCAAATATATGTTTCATATCAGAAGAACATTATCTTAATTTTTTTTATATAAAACTTCTTATAAACATTTGGTTTCTGAGGCCGTGCTTCACGCGTGCCAAAACAGACCAGTAAATCTATGCGCAAATACTCTCGAAAAGAAAGAATAAATTGGAAACCTATTTTTTTTATGAACATATTTTTCTTCTCCATGTTGACTACCAATAAGAACGCAGCTCCAAATCGGCATCAATTTATATATAATGGGAAAAAATAGGAGAACATAGTCAGCAAGATGTTTGGCTACAGTAGGGGAGGCTGAGACAATATGCCCCAATATGCTATGAAATAACAAGAACAATGTATGTGTGTGTGTGTGAGATTATAATGAAGCCATGCGATAGGATTCGAATCCGTATCCCTAAAATCTTCACAGAGGCTCACAATTGGGAGATTTTTGCGAAGTCGAACCACTTTCCTGAGCAGTTCGATCCCACTGCACGGCTTCAATATTTTTCTCAGTTCTGTACTGATAATTCCTGGACAGAGGGTCAAAGGCAGCTCCTACTCCAGAGTCTTATAATTTCCTCTTGAATGGCATGGACTCTCACTCTCTCTCTCTCTCGCTCGGGCGAAACTCTACAAGTGGCACTCAAGACATCGCCAAGGTGTCCAGCCTAGGCTCTATGGCAGCCTCCACAGCCTCGTAAATTCTGCCATATCACCATTAGGTGCTGGGAACTGGCCCACCTGACCCCTGGCACACTACAAGGCTACATAACCCTTCTATGAGAATGACCTTGTCAGATGTCTGATACCGTCTCCATCATTTCAGAATTCAACTGTGTATTATTTGTTATAATGAAATTTGACAATTATTCTCTCTACTTCTACGTTGCTAATCAATAAACTGAACTCTTACTCTCATCAAAGATCATGACCTTAAGACTAGAGAGGTCTGTATTCTAAGAGAGTGAATAATGACAGAATTACTACACCAGAGATAAACAAAAAAATTGTGTCGGCTTAAACCACGTTCAGTATTTCAGTTTCACTCTTGTGAGCCTTTTGTTGAATCACTTGTGATATAAAAAGATTATCGATGTGTATATGTATTTGTGTAAAGGATTGTATATATATATAGCATTAACAATTGTGTAACTAGTTTCAAAATACTGTCACTTGCTTAGCTAAATGAACTATGAGGTTCAGTTCCTGAACCGATTATGTGCCTCTATAACCCTCTCCTCCACCGTCCACGAGATGAGTATAGAGTGCATAATAAAGAAATATCAAATGCCAATGTTCAGAGAGAACATTAAGCTTAACATCACATGAGTAAAGCAAAGAACAATCAGTTATGTATACTTGTGTTATTCCTTTACCCGAGTATATTGTGATAACCAACCTAGCACAAGAACAAATATATATTTTAGGTTATCATCGGAGATGTTCATATGTGATACTGTGTTATGATAATATAACCAAGCTTCGACCACTATATTTAATCCCTAGTAAAATCTTGTAGCATATAAAGAGAACTCGATTTTACATACAAAACAACATATTCTGTGAGTACCCACACTAGCTGAGTACAAGTTATTCAACTAAACTGAATTTTGTGTTGGAAATAGACCTTGTTTACCTGATCAGCTGACGTCCAGTGATGTTTCCAGCGTGACACACACAGAGATCACAATAACGTGATGCATCAAATGAACAAATCCACAAGGGCCGTGACGAGGATTCGAACCTGCGTCCGGGAGCACCCCAGACACTGCCTTAATCAACTGAGCTACGACGGTTTCAACCCTTTTTACCCTGTCGTAGCTCAGTCGATTAAGGCAGTGTCTGGGATGCTCCCGGACGCAAGTTCGAATCCTCGTCACGGCCCTTGTGGATTTGTTCATTTTCCAGTGTGACTGACTAAGAACAGAGGACCACTGGAGAAACCACATCAACAGCAACGCTACAGGGAAGAAACACTTGGTATGACCTTTGAATACCAGGCGGCCGGATGTGGTAGTACAGGGCTGTTATGGGAATGACTTCTTCTCATTCATGCCTCTCTAATGCCTCTCAAACCCTTCTCTAATGCCTCTCTCACGCCTCCCTCATGCCTCCCTCCCAGCTACCCCCCCCCCTATAAGTTCTGGGGTTATTTAAGCACGTGAGTTAACGGGGAGAGTTGTAGTTGTTATCTGTTCATAGAGGTGAGTAGATCTTCCAGTGTGTGTGTGTGTGTGTGTGTGTGTGTGTGTGTGTGTGTGTGTGTGTGTGTGTGTGGGAGAGAGTGAGAGAATAGCTTAATTTAAAGGATTCACATATAAAGAACACTCTCTCCAAAGCAGTGATCCCGCGCTTATTGTGTCACCCGGTAATGTGTTCCATCAACCTACAACCTTATTTCAAACCAGTATTTACCCAGGTCTTTCCTGAATCTAAACTTATCTAATGAACATCCAGAAAACATGAATGGTCTTAAAGTAAGAAACATAGCATCCGGCCCAGACAGACTTCGACTACGACCCTTTACACGAAGATTATCGACTTCCTTTCACGCTCCTGAAGTTCCTTCATAACTTCAGAAAATATCAACATATAGTATTAGTGCTCTTTGCTTGTCCTGCTCCTGAGTTAAGACTCACTCTTAGTCTTGACTCAAGACATTAGCTCTTCTCTGTGGTGATTACTGTTGCTATAGCGTGCATTAAGACTGCTTAGTCTCTCTCTTGAGTAGGTTTTGAGACTTGTTAGTTCAGGGTAAGCCATTATCCCTGAAATAATCTGTGTTTATCTGTGCATGTATCGCATGCAGAAATGCCCGCCTTGCCTTCTTACAGGAGTAGGGATGACGACGAGAGTGGCGCTGACGCTGGTGGTGGCGGCGGTGTGGGTGGCTGTTGCTGCAGGAGGGTCAAGCCCCGACAGGTTCTTCCCCCACGGGATTCGAGGCCACGACAGGGAGGAACACTGGGGCGCCAATCTCACCACGGTAGGTGCAGGTCTCAGGACCGGGGGTGTTCACCAGTACACTATGGGGTGAGGGGACGGGTGTTCACCAGTGCACTATGGGGTGAGGGGGCGGGTGTTCACCAGTACACTATGGGGTGAGGGGACGGGTGTTCACCAGTCACGATGGGGGTGAAGGGACGGGTGTTCACCAGTACACGATGGGGGTGAAGGGACGGGTGTTCACCAGTACACGATGGGGTGAGGGGACGGGTGTTCACCAGTACACGATGGGGTGAAGGGACGGGTGTTCACCTGTACACGATGGGGTGAGGGGACGGGTGTTCACCAGTACACGATGGGGTGAAGGGACGGGTGTTCACCAGTACACTATGGGGTGAGGGGACGGGTGTTCACCAGTGCACTATGGGGTGAGGGGGCGGGTGTTCACCAGTACACTATGGGGGGATGGGGGTGAAGGGACGGGTAAATAAAGAAATAGGACAGGGGAAATGTATTAATGAATGGAAAATGAATGGAATTATCAAAGGAAAGCGATAAGCCATTCCGACTATATAGAAGGGGTCAGGGTTAGGATTTGGGATGAGACGGGGGAAGTAAAAAATGGTGTCCAACCACTTAGACGGTCGGGGATTGAACGCTGACCAGCTTGAAGCGTCGCTCTACCGTCGACTCCAAGTGGTTGGGCGAAATGGAAAGAGGACCAGAGAAAAGTCCTGCTTGTCGTGTCCTTTTAAACACATAATAATCCACATTGCTTCACTGGAGATGAGGAAAACTACCAGACGACTCGAAAAGAACTGACTGCAATGCTTCAGATAATCTCCTCAAAAAGATGCTAATACAGCACTTCTCTGACGAATTCCTCAGCACAAGCATCAAAAAGATGCAAAGAATGGCAGTTGTGTCTGAAGAAACAACTCGAGATCCAGAATAAGACAACAGTGATCAGACACAAGACAAGAACCAGCAGACTCCATCTTTCTCGACTGTCAAAAAAGCCTTCGCCATTGTTCCACTCAGGACGCTTCTACACACTCTTGAGAAATAACTGGGAGTAACTGTACGCTGGAGTGGATGGGGGACTAAACAACTATCAAATGGGGAATAGTTATAATGAGAGAGAAAACTAGTATGAAAGGGAGTTACAACCATCCGAACAGAATTAATACATATCAGTGAACTAGCTGATTTTAAGGACATGGTAGAAAGCTAGTCAGAAAAGTGGCTCCTTGACTCTAATAAAAAAAAGTGTAACGTAATGAATTTGGAAACTAAATTTTAACATTTGTATTAATATCCTGATTACACACAACTCCATCAAAAACCACATAATTAACTTATAAACACAATTCTCTTAAGAATACAACTATTTGGTAATCATACAATTCCCTTTATAATTACAACTTTTAACCCAAAAAGAATATAATCCCATACGAAACAACCAATTCCCTTAAATACACATAACCCATTTAAAATATGAAAAATCCTCATCAAAACCTTCAACTCCCTTTAAAAATACACCACTCTTAAAAAAAAGGACTAACCCCCTTAAAAATCCCCAACTCCCTTAAAAAAACATAGATAAACATCTGACCAAAAAAATTACAACCTTCTTCCCCTCTCACAGCCGGAGCTGATCGCGGCCATGGGGTACCCGGTGGAGATCCACCACACGACCTCTGAAGACGGCTACATCCTCGAACTCCACAGGATTCCTTATGGGATTGTTGACGGGCCGTCGGAGGGCCGCCCTGTGGCCTACATGGAGCACTGCCTCTTGTGCTCCTCCGCCGACTACATCATGAACGACCCTGACAAGGCTCTTGGTAAGAGAGAGAGAGAGAGAGAGAGAGAGAGAGAGAGAGAGAGAGAGAGAGAGAGAGAGAGAGAGAGAGAGAGAGAGAGAGAGAGAGAGAGAGAGAGAGAGAAAGAGAGAGAGAGAGAGATCAAGGGGTCCGGAATGCAAGTTGGGTTTCTTAGTTTCTGGAAGCGGGTTTGCTTCAGCGCTGGTTTACGACAAGATCCTTAGTAAAGCGAGGTTTACTAAAGTCTTTTTAGACAGGGAAGTACACTGCAAGGTCTCTATAGAAGATGGTTTACTGTGAGGTGCTCAATGAGTGAGTTATATAGTTAAGGTGATAACAAGGAATGATAACTATAAGTAGTCCTTTTGTGAACATGATTACGTTGTGACGCATACTGAGGCGTAACAGCGTGAACACCAAAGGCCAGATTCATGAAGCAGTTACGCAAGTACTTACGAACTTGTAAATCATTCCTCAGTTTTTGACGGCTTTGGTTACATTTATTAAACAGTTTACAAGCAGTAAAACTTCCCAATCAATTGTTGTTAATGTTATAAACAGCCTCCTGGTGCTTCGCAGCTCAAACTGTTTAATAATTGTAAACAAAGCCGCCTTATACTAAGAAAAGATGTACAAGTTCGTAAGTGCTTGCGTAAATGCTTCGTGAATCTGGCCCCTTCAAGACAGCCACCTCTCCACAGCCTACATTCTGGCCGACGCCGGCTACGACGTCTGGCTATCCAACATGCGAGGCAACACCTACACCAGGACGCACGTCTCTCTCTCCCCTGACGACCTCGCCTTCTGGCAGTTCTCGTGAGTTAATTTAGTGTCTTGGACGAAGGAGTGTCTTATTTAGCGTCTTCTTCGCTACAGATGAAGAAAAGTGGGTTGAAATTGGGATGTAGATTGTGGGTTATGAAGTTTTAAGCGTTTACGGAGTATATTCATGTCCGTGTCACCTCTGAGGTGGCTTTATCTTCATCAATTAATCAATCAATTAGGCGAGTTGTCCGCCTTGCTGACACGATAGATCTGCATATGTTGCTATATGCGCCTGGGGAAAGGGCAGAGGGTATAAGGGGGAAGAGGAGTTCCCTGGGAGGGGGTTTAGTGGGGAAGGGGGAAAAGGGAATGGTGGCTGAGACTTAAGGTTTGGATGAGAAAGAAAGGTGGGTGGTTCAGCCCGTTCTCTCCATCCAAACACTCCGTTAAAAATACAACTGTTTTGCCTAACCAGAAACGTTCAAATCGATGTAAACCCTTCAACCCCCATCGAACCTTAGGCAAAGAAAACGTAAATTATCAAGGGAGGCTTTAAAGTTTTAGTAATGCGTCGCATAATTTACGAATGAGGGTGGGTTGACTCCGTTTAAATTACGCTGTATTGAGAGGACAGTGTACACTATGGTACTGTTACCTAGCAGTAAAATAGGTACCTGGGTGTTAGTCAGCTGTCACGGGCTGCTTCCTGGGGGTGGAGGCCTGGTCGAGGACCGGGCCGCGGGGACACTGAAGCCCCGAAATCATCTCAAGATAACCTCAAGATGGTGGCAGAACCCTTAGGACGAGTGAGAGCAGGTTGTGCACTCACCTAGCAATGAGACTACGAGGAAGTAAGCTCTAGCACATTATCTCCTCTACCCCCTCAAACCACTAGACCTAGTTGCATCGTTTGGGTTATAATTTAACTATTTAGAACGTTCGAATTCCTGATGGAATCTGGCCTGAAGTATGTGATACGGCTTCACCAGGTGGGACGAAATGGCGTACTACGACGTGCCTGCCAGCATCGACTATGTCCTCGACCACACGGGCGCCTCGGCCGTGTACTACGTCGGCTGGAGCATGGGTACTACTGTCTTCTGGGCCCTGATGAGTGAGAGGCCAGAGTACAACGAGAAGGTAGGGAGAGAGAGAGAGAGAGAGAGAGAGAGAGAGAGAGAGAGAGAGAGAGAGAGAGAGAGAGAGAGAGAGAGAGAGAGAGAGAGAGAGAGAGAGAGAGAGAGAGACAGACAGACAGACAGACAGACAGACAGACAGAGACAGACAGACAGAGACAGAGACAGACAGAGAGATACAGACAGAAAGACAGAGAAAGAGACAAAGACAGACAGAACGACAGAGAAAGATACAGAGACAGAGATAGACAGAGACAGAGATAGCCAGAGACAGAAATAGACAGAGACAGAGATAGCCAGAGACAGAGACTGAAATAGACAGAGACTGCGATAGACAGAGACAGCGATAGACAGTGACAGAGTTAAACTTACAGAGATAGAGACAGAATGCTACAAAGGCTAGCGAAAGCTTTACACTTAAGAAGTCTTACACTTTAATCCTGTGGAAGATGGAAGGATTTGGGTGCATAAATCCTTAACTATAGTTGGACTTGGAGTATAACTGCAACTTGGACAAAGAGAGATTGGAGCTTCGCGTTCCAAGGAATCCCAGCTTAGTCTGAACTTAAAAATTAGTATTATTTTTTACAAGAGTTTAAATGTACATACATAGCGTGAAACTCCTGTTTCTAAACCAAAAGTATTAATCACAGTGAATGGTCTCATGTATTATCTATCATCATGCATGTCATTATCAATTTACTTTCACCATAACCTCTATAATGTCTTCCCATCATCACTATCACCATACAATGAGTTCTCCTCCATCATCATAGTCAATTCCTTCTAATCCTCACAAGTATTATCCTTGTGAGGATATCCATCAATCACAAGGATATACCTTATATCCATCCTCTCAAAGATCCCTTCAGCGTCCCCCTCACAGGTCATCTAGTGGTACTCACAAGATGTTCAGAGGAACATCTTATGAGTCAGGCGAGCTGACAAGATGTTCCCATCCCCCATTCTAGATCCACGCCATGGCGGGGATGGCTCCGGTGGCCTACACAGACCACTCCAAGGGCTTCATGCAGGAGTTGGCACCTTATTCTGGAGATCTTGACGTGAGTACAGTGCCACGCATTTAATTTTCTCGGTTTACATTTGGTTTACTCTACTACCCCATTCCAGCAGCCTCCACTCTACCACCCATAAACACCATTTCTCCTCAAAAATTAAATTATCGTCTTTCAAATTGTGTTTTTTTGTTATATATCTCGGACATAAATTAACTTGAGATAACTTGTGTGTGTGTGTATGTGTGACCTTATTGTGCTGACCGTACTGTGACCTTACTGTGATTGTTTAGATTGTGATGAGCTTGCTGGGAACGGGGGAACTGCTGCCTGGAGACGGTCTAATAGACTACCTCGCTGAGAACTACTGCGACGTTCAAGACGACACTGCCGAGGTCTGCTACAACTTCCTCTTCCTCATATGTGGCCCAGACGCCGACGAGATCCCCAAGGTGAGTGACGAGTGAGTACTCACCCCCCTTAAGGTGCGTGACGTGTGAGTACTCACACCCCCTTAAGGGGCGTGACGTCTGAGTACTCAACCCCGAAGCACTATTTAACAAGGGGGTCGGGGGTGGAAGAGGGAAGAGGGGAGTTCAGACCTGCTTATAGGGGGTTCGGGGTTGTTTACTAAAGACGCTGTAGCACTCCATCCTGGGGACGGTGGTTGAAGAAAAGTCCAGTGTTTTATAAGTGGTTCAAATGATCAACATTCTTTTAACAACATTGCTAAAAGAATTGCAACCGGGAGTTCAACCTGACCTACCACGGATCCTGCAGTCTCTCCGAGACACAAAACCAGGTTTATACACATTTCCCCCCATGCACCCGAGCTCTGCCAATAAGCTCTGCGCGTCTGGGATCCTTTCGAACGTAAGTTCGAACCCTCATAACGGCCTTTGTGGATATCTTCATTTGATATATCACGCTATTGTGATTTCTGTGTGTAATGTGTTTGGTGGTCTTCTACAGGAGTACCTGCCGGTGATCCTGGCCCACTTCCCCGCCGGCACCTCCGTCCACACCGTCAACCACTTCTCCCAGCTCATTCTCGCAGGTAAACACAAAGCCAAGAATAACACCTTCGGAGCAATCTTCTTGAGAGGTTATCTTGACATGATTTCGGGGCTTTTTAGTGTCCCCGGTCATCGACCAGGCCTCCACCCCCAGGAAGAAGCCCGTGACAGCTGACTAACACCCATAGGTACCTATTTTACTGCTAGGTAACAGGGGCATAGGGTGAAAGAAACTCTGCCCATTGTTTCTCGCCGGCGCCTGGGATCGAACCCAGGACCACAGGATCACAAGTCCAGCGTGCTGTCCGCTCGGCCGACCGGCTCCCTAATGCCGATGCCATTACTAGGTAAAAACTACCGTGGTAGCCTGTCCTCATAAGGTTTCACAACATCAAGAAAACGGCCAATTTAAAGTGTCCTTTCCTAACCTACCAGAGATCCCAGACAAGAAAACTGGACAGCAGGTCACTTTCGCCAGCCGCATCCATTAACTAACACGCCAATTTTTGGCCTTATTTAACACATACGAGCGAAAAGCGACGTTCTAAGTAGGAGAACAGGTTGCCCAAGTACCACTCACATAGCATCAATTCCTTCCCCATTGAATAGTACCACTCTATATACAGTCTGTAGTCACCATCTAACAGACGTCTGTGCCTCTTTACAGGAGTGTTCCAAAAGTACGACTACGGACCAGAGGAGAACATGATTAGATACGGCCAGGACACCCCGCCCTTGTACAACCTCAGCCGCGTCACCGCTCCCGTTGGTCTCTTCTGGGGCAACACTGACTGGCTAGCCGACCCTGAGGTACTACTGTCTGTCTTGTCAGTCTGTACAACTGTCTGTAAGTCTCTGTGTGGCTGGGTATGGCTGTCTGTGTACGTCAAGCTGGATATAAGATTCGTAAATGTATTTGTATGTGTCTGGACATTTCTGGTTGTCTGTCTATATTGAACTCTGATTGTCTATCTGTCTATACTGAGCTTTGCTTGTCAGTCTGTCTGTTTATATGATTGCCTATACGTAAATTGGAATGTAAAAACTGCCTTTAAGCGTGTCTGTACACCTGTCTATGTCTGTTTCTTTATATATCTGCATGTCTATGGTGTACTCAGTCCGTCCGTTCCTCTGTCTACCTGTATGGAAGTCTGTTTGTATGCTGTCTACGTAAGCTGGCTCTTCCTGACAGTTTTCTTCCGTTGTGTCTGTTTAACGGACCATCCGGCAACGTGTGTCTGTAAGAGTATCCGGCAAGATGGATGACTCCAAGAAAGTGTCTGTGGTTCCGAAACCTTGTCACAAACCCCGCCATCTTCCTTACCACTGGTTCCCAAAACCATGTGTTACAATCCTTCCTCTCTCTCTCTCTCTCTCTCTCTCTCTCTCTCTCTCTCATTTCCTTCATTCACTTCCAAAATGTTATTACAGCTATCTCCTAGTCCATCTGTTGTTTCAGAACGTTGTTCCATACATCACCAGTATGGTGATGATCCAGCCAGTGTCTTAAAGAATCTTATTCCAGTCAACAAGAACCTTTTTCACCCCTATTCTTAGTCGCTGGCTCTCAGTACCTTGTAACAATCCAATCTTTCCTTCCTGTGATTGTTTCTAATTATATTTCATAGCTCCTGATGCCCTACTCGTGGTTATTAATCGTAAAAGTCTTTTATTGATGTCCCAGCTCTATATGTGCTGTTCTATTGTCATTTGTAGCTCTATATACATTCTTCTCTAACAGAGTCCCTCTGGAACTAACACCACGCTCTCTCGCTCATTGGATCTGAAACTTGGCTGTCATGGAGGGCCTGAAACCCTCTTCTGTCATGCAGGGCATTGAACCCATTTCTGACAGTATGCTTAGAGCTGTAGGCCTGATCTAACAGACACTGTTGTTACAGGACCTTGTTCTAGCACCTATAAGGTTACATGCCCTTGATTTAACACCCCCTGAGATTACAGAACCTTATTCTAACACCTTCTGATTTTATAGGGCCTTGTTTTAACACCCTCTCATGTTACAGGACCTTGTTCTAACATCCTCTAAGGTAACAGGATCATGTTCTAACATCCTCTAAGGTAACAGGATCATGTTCTAACATCCTCTAAGGTAACAGGATCATGTTCTAACATCCTCTAAGGTAACAGGATCATGTTCTAACATCCTCTAAGGTAACAGGATCATGTTCTAACATCCTCTAAGGTTACAGGATCATGTTCTAACACCCTCTAAGGTTACAGGATCATGTTCTAACATCCTCTAAGGTAACAGGATCATGTTCTAACATCCTCTAAGGTAACAGGATCATGTTCTAACATCCTCTAAGGTAACAGGATCATGTTCTAACATCCTCTAAGGTAACAGGATCATGTTCTAACATCCTCTAAGGTTACAGGATCATGTTCTAACACCCTCTAAGGTTACAGGATCATGTTCTAACATCCTCTAAGGTTACAGGATCATGTTCTAACATCCTCTAAGGTTACAGGATCATGTTCTAACACCCTCTAAGGTTACAGGATCATGTTCTAACACCCTCTAAGGTTACAGGATCATGTTCTAACATCCTCTAAGGTTACAGGATCATGTTCTAACACCCTCTAAGGTTACAGGATCATGTTCTAACATCCTCTAAGGTTACAGGATCATGTTCTAACACCCTCTAAGGTTACAGGATCATGTTCTAACACCCTCTAAGGTTACAGGATCATGTTCTAACACCCTCTAAGGTTACAGGATCATGTTCTAACACCCTCTAAGGTTACAGGATCATGTTCTAACATCCTCTAAGGTTACAGGATCATGTTCTAACATCCTCTAAGGTTACAGGATCATGTTCTAACACCCTCTAAGGTTACAGGATCATGTTCTAACATCCTCTAAGGTTACAGGATCATGTTCTAACATCCTCTAAGGTTACAGGATCATGTTCTAACACCCTCTAAGGTTACAGGATCATGTTCTAACACCCTCTAAGGTTACAGGATCATGTTCTAACACCCTCTAAGGTTACAGGATCATGTTCTAACACCCTCTAAGGTTACAGGATCATGTTCTAACACCCTCTAAGGTTACAGGATCATGTTCTAACACCCTCTAAGGTTACAGGATCATGTTCTAACACCCTCTAAGGTTACAGGATCATGTTCTAACACCCTCTAAGGTTACAGGATCATGTTCTAACACCCTCTAAGGTTACAGGATCATGTTCTAACACCCTCTAAGGTTACAGGATCATGTTCTAACATCCTCTAAGGTTACAGGATCATGTTCTAACACCCTCTAAGGTTACAGGATCATGTTCTAACACCCTCTAAGGTTACAGGATCATGTTCTAACACCCTCTAAGGTTACTGGATCATGTTCTAACACCCTCTAAGGTTACAGGATCATGTTCTAACACCCTCTAAGGTAACAGGATCATGTTCTAACATCCTCTAAGGTTACAGGATCATGTTCTAACACCCTCTAAGGTAACAGGATCATGTTCTAACATCCTCTAAGGTTACAGGATCATGTTCTAACACCCTCTAAGGTTACAGGATCATGTTCTAACACCCTCTAAGGTTACAGGACCTTGTTCTGACATCCTCTAAGGTTACAGGATCATGTTCTAACACCCTCTAAGGTTACAGGACCTTGTTCTAACACCCTCTAAGGTAACAGGACCTTGTTCTAACACCCTCTCATATTACAGGACCTTGTTCTAACATCCTCTAAGGTTACAGGATCGTGTTCTAACACTGTCTGAGATTACAGGACGTTGCTCGGCTGGCTGAGGAACTCCCAAACGTCGCTCTGAACTTCCAAGTCAACAAAACAGAATTTAATCATCTCGACTTCGGATGGTAAGATTTTCGTTCGGAAAGTTTGTATTTTAACGTGGTAGAATTACGTAGTACTTAAGCAACAAAATAATTCAACTTAACAGAAGAATAAAATAATTGGTCCAATAATACAATTATATAAGTATTTAGGATTATACCGGTAATGACTCAGAATATACGCATCTGGAGAGGCGTGCCCCGCATCAGAGTATATTTTGAGAGTATAATCTGGCTTTGGATAATGTTGTGGTATATTTGTTGGTTGGTGGGGAATAAGCTATTGAGGGTTGCACTTAATTTCCCTTCATATGCTTGGTTTGGTATTGGGCTTAAGGCCTATCAGACAATAGATGGTTTCAAAGGCCTATATCAACCTCTGGAGGATTATAAAAGCCTATCAACCTCTGAGGGTAATTAAGACCAGTCAATCTCAAGTATGGTTACTAAGGTCACCGAAATAGCTATACTGATAAACCAGCAAGTATACTGTAGTCCAGAACATAGTCTAGGACTACATAAACTCAATGTATATACACCGAGAAGCTATGTATACTTCTCTGTGTGTATATATATATCCCTGATGTAACCAGAGGTTCATAGGGCTTAAACCCAAACGTCAAAGTAATTGTATTATAATGTTTTGGTACAATAGAATAGGATAACAGTATAATATACGATATGATCTCAAACGCCTGTTGAGTTTGCCTTCCTAATTCTCCTCATAATCGGTCTTCTCCTCACTCTTTTCCCTTCTGATTCCCTCCCTCATGCAAACTCTCCCTCATGCTAATTCTCCCTCATCATAATTCTACCTAATACTCACTTTCCGTTATGCTAATTCTCATTTCTCATTTCTCCTTTCTCAGGGGCATTGACGCTGACAAATACGTGTATCAGTACATACTCGAGTTCTTCACCAACTACTGAGTTACTGAGTGTGTGGAGGCTCTCGACTCAGGCACCTTGTGGCTCTGGGACACCTTGTGGCTCTGGGACACCTTGTGGTCCAAGATTATTGATGGACAACAATAAACATCGTCGATAATAGAATCATTAAAACCACTATGAACTCACCAACACCCTAAATACTCCCGGCACATTAAACACCTGCCACACTAAATACTTGTCACACTAAAGACCTGTCACCCTTGAGACGAGTGCCTGAACCCTTTGGATCACCCTGGTCGAGCCACTATTAACTTCTACTGTATTCGTTATGGTGATTGACTAATAAATTTGTTTAGTATCATATCTTACTGTTTTATTTGTCATTATTAATTCTAATAGAGGATTGTGAGAGCATGAGGGGAATGAGGGAAGGAAGGGGGGAGGGGAATTGATGAGGGGAGACGGTGATGGGGGGGAGGGGAGAGGGGGGGATAACCCCCACCAAGCATCCTTGACAGTGGGGGGGGGTGAGGGGTTGCCGGGGGGGGGGTAAGGACATTTTTTCCTACTCTTCAAATTCTGCGCAACAATATTCTGTATTTGTAAGGGAGATCGTCCGTCTGTCTGTCTGTCTGCCTGTCTGTCTGTCCAAGGCTGCAGACCCGACACTTTGGACAAATCTAACCCAACCTAACCTAACCTAACCTAACCTAACCTACGTTTGAAGGGATTTTCAGGGATTCCCCACATTTATGGGGAATCGGCCCTTATTTTCCCACTTCATAAATTCGAGTACACACACACACACACATTTTATATATATATATATATATATATATATATATATATATATATATATATATATATATATATATATATCGGCCAAATCCCGTAAGTATAGAGAACTGGATCACCACTCCAATTTCGTCCCCATTGCTTCTGAGACACTCGGCGCCTGGGGTAAAAGTGCTACCAGTTTTTTGAAGGAACTGGGTTCTAGGCTCATTGAAACAACAAGGGACCCAAGAGCTGCAAGCTTTCTTTTCCAGCGCCTCAGTGTGGCGATACAGAGGGGAAATGCGCACTGCATCCAGGGTTCCTGCCCGCCATCTGAGGAGCTGTAGGAACTCGACAACCTATGATAACCATCTTTGTAACCCATATGTAACTGCTTTTTTGTAACAAAGTTCAAATAAAGTAAATATATATGTGTACATACAAAAGAATGGGGGTGGTAGGAGAAGATAATATTAGTGTTCAGTGAGAAACCACAAGGTCTCCTCTGAATACTTTTTATTTTCTTCTCCGAGGCTATGGGTCCCCACATTGGCACCAGAGGTGGTACCCTCACAAACTTATATATATATATGGCACCACCTTTTATGGTTGAGCTGGGCACCTGTAGGTACCCATCAGGTAACTCCCCCACAATAATTATCATTTTTAATATAATAATTACTTGTTCCTGCATTTTAGAGTGTCTTCTCTCTCTCTGTTAACGTGAAATTTCCTTTCTTTTTTACGTTTCCTCCTCCTACTTCCTCTTCCTCTTCCTGCCTCATGTTTCTTCCTTCACTCCTTCTAACGCCCCTCTTCCCCCTTTGTCCGCTACCTCCCCTTCCCTTATTGACGTCCTCCATCTCTCTCTCGTCGTCTCCTACTCCCCCCAAATATCTCCCTCCCTATGTCATCAATACACCCCCAATATCTCCCTCTCTATGTCGTCAATACACCCCCCAATATCTCCCTCTCTATGTCGTCAATACACCCACCAATATCTCCCTCTCTATGTCGTCAATACACCCCCAATATCTCCCCCCCCCCTATGTCGTCAATACACCCCCCAATATCTCCCTCTCTATGTCGTCAATACACCCCCAATATCTCCCTCTCTATGTCGTCAATACACCCCCAATATCTCCCCCCCTATGTCGTCAACACATCCCCCTCCCTCCTCCCCCGTGAAGTGGGCTTCCCGCTGCTGCCGGTGTTGCAAACTCCAATCATATTCTTTGAGTGTTTTTCTGCCAGTGTTGCCAACACTGCCGTACCATCTTACAATAGAGCTTTATTAGCGAGCTGATGAGACTCTGTGCAAGAGGCTGAGGCTGCGGGATGTTCTGAGGTCTGATGATGCTGCTCATTCTTGTGCCTCTCTGATGCTGCTCTTGTGTCTGCTGATGCTGCTCTTGTCTTTACTGATGCTGCTGTTCTTGTGTCTCTGTGGTGATGCTGCTCTTATTTATCTAGATAGATTGATTTCCAGGAAATTTGGATTCAAACCCCAATCTCGCAAATACAAATTTCTGTGAAAATCATATATAAAATGAACTTAAAATATTATGCATGATATACCGTGACCTGTGGGCGTAGTACCAGTGGTCATAGTACCAGTGGTCGTAGTACCAGTGGTCGTAGTACCAGTGGTCAGAGTACCAGTGGTCATAGTACCTGTGGTCATAGTACCAGTGGTCATAGTACCAGTGGTCAGAGTACCAGTGGTCATAGTACCTGTGGTAATAGTACCAGTGGTCATAGTACCAGTGGTCAGAGTACCAGTGCTGTTAATGAGGGAGAATCTTGGTGGCCTGGACATGGTGGGTATGGAGGTGAGGTGAAGCCTAGTGGGAGGGAAGAGGTGTAAGGGAACTGAAGTACAGGAGGACAAAGTTCAGGTACTCTGGAAAAGGTAGTTAGCGTGACGCCTCCCTCCTTACCCACCCACATAATGTGAGGGGGAAGCTCCCTCCCTCCATAACCCCCCCCCCACATGCTATGGGGTGGGGGGGGGAAGGGTATCGGGGCCAAACACCTGAAGAGATGCTCGCTAAGAAGTAACCATATCTTGGCAATAAGCTAGACATTCACATCCTTATACATCTCAAATGTTCATTTTCATAAACAGTAAGGCTGGACCTTGAACAATGAGGCAGCTAACGTGGGTACGTTCACCAGGCCCCTGCCATTACCACCTGGTAATCCCAAGCTGAGGCAACGACCGAACGCGGCCGCCCGGGAAACTGCAACATCCATGTGGCCCAAAAAAATTAACAAGACAAAAACAAAAACCCGTTTGGCGGGTCTTTGACGACTGGCGTCCAGAGAGAGCGAGTTTTTCATTCTTTGTTTTGGAATTGAGGGTCAGGGTAGCGGGTGCGATAATGACGGTTTGTGTATTACCTAAAAGTTTCATTAAGGGAGGGGGGAAATGGGGTTGGGGGGGGGGGAAGGAGGAAAATATATACAACAGTTGGTTCACAGTTTTTTTTTTGGTTTAGACCCGAGTTCGATTCCCGGGAAGAGCAAGACGTTTTGATACGCTATCTTTTGTTCACCTAGAAGGAAATAGGGAGCTGAGAGTAAGGCAACTTGTGGGTTGCATCCTGGGGGAAGGTCAGAAGTTGGACAAGGGGGGGGGGATTGGGGGAGGGGGACCTCGCTAAGCCAAACAGGCTTAGCCAGGTCCCCCACTCACGACAGAGAGAGAGAATTTAAAGTCTTGTCCTCAACACTTAAAGCCCGTTGATAATTTTTCTTTCGGCTCGAAAACTTAACTTTAACAAACATTGATCACATATCAGGATTAATGTTATTGTAAAATGTTGACTTCCTTCTCCACTTCTTCCTCTCTCCTTCCTCATCCCTCACCATCCCTTGCCTCCTCCACCCCCCCCCCCCCTCTCCCCCATTCCTCACCATCCCTTGCCTCCTCCACCCCCCCCCTTCCTTCCTCTCCCCCATCCTCTCCCCTCACCATCCCTCCCCTCCACCCCCCCTTCCACCAAAAAAAGGTTAAGCTGCAAGTCTCCACAAGTCCCCAGCTCTGAGCGACGCGGTCATCACAACTCCCTCAAGGTTACCCCCACAGAAACTCACTCATGCATGAGGGAATGAATGATTGTGTTTATCTGTCTCCAGTGAGCAGCTGGGGAGCAACAGACGATCGATGAGCCCGGGGAAGGAAAGGATTGACTGGGAAACTAATATTTTACATAAACAAAATTTCCTTCTTCGAGGAAATCTCAGCTTTTCAAGCATTAAGTTTTCAAGCATTATGTCATTTCTTAAAAGGGCTATGCAGAGGTGACAGTCGCTTGGACCTTGACTCCAAAACAGCCTCTACGAGTGATCCCTGCGGGTGACCCCTTCTTCACTAGCCAATCACTGCTGAGAACACCAGATAGTGACCCTCCCTAACCAGCCACTACTCTCAGACACCTCCAAACCCAGTGTCCCTTTGTCTAGCTTATCGCAATGACGCAGTCGAGTTTTCCCTGTCGTATATTCGGTTTTTTTTTGTCCCCTATCCAAAGTTGCCTTCTCAGAAACATTGACCTCAGAAATGTTACACACTGACTTTTATAACAATGATTTATGGAATGTTTCATAAAAATATGTCAGCGATTAATTATTGTTTAGTTGTTAACTGGACGTGCGGGATTTTCTGTATTGAAAATTAATTCATTGGAGACATATTTAAATTGGCGTTGAAGAATATGAAATTAATCGTGAAAAATCATTGAAAAATATACGTAAACGTTAAGTAATATACCTGGATCTGTAGCGGGTGAAACAGGACGATTGGTCTTCCAGTTGGACTTGACGAAGGTGTAGAGTTACGGCTGTTCTCAGGCCTTAAGTCTAACTCCAAACTATGTATCACACACACACACGCGGGTTCGTATGTATCAAACCATGTATCACTCACTCGAGGGTTTGTATGTATCTCACACACGGGGGTTTGTATGTATCAAACCATGTATCACTCACACGAGGGTTTGTATGTATCAAACCATGTATCACACACACGAGGGTTTGTATGTATCAAACCATGTATCACTCACACGAGGGTTTGTATGTATCACACACACGAGGGTTTGTATGTATCAAACCATGTATCACACACGAGTCTTAATTTGGATCTAGACACAATCCTGAGCTAAATTCAACTCTCAATGTATGTATGTATACGAAGCTGTAGGATATACACACCACTCGATGTGTGTGTATACCCTTGTCCCTGGGAGAGGTAACTGGCAGGTGTATTCTCAGGTCAGGCCCACAACAGATCACCCGACGGACGCGCCGCGTCTTTCCAAACTACCGGGAGTGGTAGTTAGCGCAGTTATGGTTTAAACACCCAGTCATCTTACCGAACGTATAACTGCATATAAACGTAACAAATTGCGACGGTTCAAGGGAAATTCAACAACGCCTTAATATTGACGTTGTATGAGCCTATATTAAAGTTCTGGTGGGTTTTAGCTATCTTGAGATCTTGAGGTTATCTTGAGATGATTTTGGGGCCTTTAGTGTCCCCGCGGCCCGGTCCTCGACCAGGCCTCCACCCCCAGGAAGCAGCC